ACCTTGCGTTCTGGCTTGCAGCCGATGCGCCTTAGGTCAGAGTGAACGTCCCGAACGGTCTTACACTGATCTCGAAGCGTGGTGCAAATTATGATTGATGGAAGCCAGAGGAAAAGACCCAACGCCCAGGGGCGCCCAACCCGCCAGGGCTCGAACCTGGCGTGCTACGAGTACCCCTCCAGGTGGGTGCATACTCCCACAACTCCTGAAAATGCCACCCCAGGCGGGCGCCCGTTCCCGCAACTCCTGGGGCTGGCAAGCCCTGGCGAGCCCAATTGTCGGGATTTGAACCTGACTCGAGGATCCAACACCAAATGACCGCAAAGCCGCCGTCCTCAGCGTACCCAGCGCTCATCAAACTTCGCGCGGGTAGACGCCCCACGATGCGCGACTCACCGTTTTCATTGCGCTCTCGATTCCTGGGGAAAAGCACCTTTGCGGCAGAGGCTTCGAACCGCGAATCGCATCTAACTTCGCGCCCCCAAGGGCGACCAACAACATCGACAGCCTTGCCGCCGACTTCAGCAATGGGCCGGAGCTGGTGCTCGGCAGCCCTGGTCGACTCGAAGAGCGCCTTGCAGCCTGCTGAGAGGCGGAAAGATCACCAAATGCGGCCGCTGCTCTTCGCGGGCAGGCGCCCCGCGATGCACGACCCGCTGTTGCCTTCGAGCCTTCGCGCAGACGCCAGAAGGACACCAGCCCGGCCGATTCGGAGAACCGCTCCTTGGCGGCCCAGGCCGAGAGGCGTGAAGCGCGGTTATCTTTGACTCCGAAAATGATCTAGATGAACGGCAGCACGACGTCTGTATCTTATGCCGACGCTGCATCCCCTGACCCACGTTTTACGGCCCAGGCCGCGAAGCGAGGAGCGCGGTTAACTTTGCACCTCCAAGAGGAGGTACACGACCCCAGAAACCTCGCACGCACGGAATGCTGCGGCAATGCCGCCAGCGTAAGGGCGCCGCGCAGCAGGAACCTCACGGGCAGCGTATCGGCGTCCGCCTGAGGGACAACCACCGCTGCGGCAGCACTGACGCCACGCCGACAGGCAGGCTGGCCATCCAAAGCGCGTCGAAGATGAGCCGGCACTTCATGTCCGCGTGCGGCTGCACTGCCAGCGCGAAGGCGCCCAGCAGCCACTGCCCGACTGGCAGCGAGTCGGCATTCGCCTGGGACGCGCCAAGGTGCACGACGACCACCAGGTGGACGAGCCGCAGGAAGGTCGCCAGGGAGGCCACCAACCATCGCTGCGGCAGCACTAGCGACACCCCGACAGAAATGCCGGCCATCCATAGCGTGTTGAAGACGGGTCAGCTGCTCATGTCCGCGCGAGGCAGGGCCGTCAACGAGAAGGAGCCAGGCGGCAGGAGCCCAAGCGACAGCGAGTCGGCGTCCGCCTGGCAAGATCTGCCAGGCATGGACGACCTCCCGGTGGAAGAGCCAGCCATAGGACCCTCGCCAAGGCAAGGAGCACACCAGCCACCGCTGCGGCAGCACCGACGCTGTGCCGTCAGACGGGCCAGATAGCCAGAACGTGTCGAAGACCGGGCGGCCGTTCAGGTCCGAGGGCGGCAGCGCCGCCAGCGCAAGTGCCCGACCAGCGGCGAGTCGGCACCCGCCTGGTACGGCGCCGCAGTGCACGACGACCACCTGGTGGAGAAGCCACGGGACCACCGCCAGGGAGGACACCAACTACGCTGCGGCAGCACTGGCGCCATGCCGACAACCGCGCTGGCCATCCAGGGCGTGTCGCAGACGGGCGGCCGTTCATGTCCGCGCGCGGCAGCGCCGCCAGCGTAAAGGCGCCAAGCAGCAGGCGCCCGACCGGCTGCCAGTAGGTGTCCGCCTGGTACGAGCCGCGGTGCCCGTCGACCGCCTGGTGGAGTAGCTATAGGACCGCCGCCAAGGAGGACACCCCCCAACGCTGCGGCAGCCCTGGCGACACGCCGACAGGCAGGCGGGCCATCCAGAGCGTTTCGAAGAGGTCCGCGTGTGGCAATGGCGCCAGCGCGAGCGCTCCAAGCAGCAGGCGCCAGACTGGCAGCGAGTCGGCGTCCGCCTGGCACGAGCCGCAATGCACAACGACCACCAAGTAGAGGAGCCACAGAACCATCCCCCCCGAGGACACCAGCCACCGCTGCGAAAGCACCGACGCCGCCACGCCGACAGACGGGACAGCCATGCAGGGCGTGACGCCGACGGGACGGTTGCACAATTCGGCGTGCGGCAGCGCCGCCAACGCGGGGGCGCCAAGATGGAGGTGCCGGATCAGCAACGCGCCGGCGTCCGCCTGGTGCGAGCCGCGGTGCACGACGACCACCTGTATGAAGCCACAAGACCACCGCCACAGAAGACACAAGCTACCGCTGCGGCAATGCCGGCGCCAGGCCGACGAGCAGGCCCGCCAGCCAGAACGAGTCGACAACGAGCCACAGGACCATCGTCGGAGACGACACCAGCGCGAGGGCGCCAAACAGCCGGTGCCAAACCGGCAACGTGT